TGTGCCATAGAAGCCAAGACTAAGACTGGTCCGGGGCTTTCCTACCATGAAGCTGCAGCCTTTCAAAGAGAGCCACGGTAAATGAGTTGTGCCGTCCCGTGAAGGATGCTATACCCTCCACATAACCAGTGTGCTCTCCTTGCTTAAGGGTATAACTGCATGGCTGTCTCCCCAGATGTACTTTCCCCTCCTATTTAAACCCCTATCCCCACACGCATGCTTCCTGAGTTCCTCCTCCGGCCCCTCCGATCACTCCATGCCTGCATTGGCCAGTTTCAAACATTAGGCTTTGTAAAACAAAGACAGCCTTTGCGTTGGTTTTCCAAAATGGACTTGTCTCCTACATCCTCTGCAGAGGTTAACAGACTTGCATTGACCTTGCCAGGCATTGTGGTGCAGTCTGTGATCCCTGAACCTGGGAGGCTGAGGTGGAAGGGAGCACTGTGATTCTGAGGCCACCCTGGGCTAATAGTTCAAGGCCAGCCTGAACTACATAGTGAGACCCTGTCTCAAAAAAAAAAATGAAAAACAAAAACAGACCCCAGAAAAACAACACTTGCACAGAATGAGAAATGAGCTCATGTAGGAAAACAGTCTGAGCCACAGTGTTACCCAGAGCTGTGGGAGCTGGAAGGGGGAGCACAGTTTTATACAAAATCCACATATGGTACTGGCTCATGCCTCTTCTGCTTTTAAAAGGAGACAGACTATAAATAAATTAATATTTGAACTCTCCGTGTATCTGGGAAAAAGTAATTCTTTAGGCTTTTCAAAAAAGTCACAAAGTCCAACTTCAATTTTTTTCTAACGACTTTCCGCTGAAACTCCACATTCTCCAGCTCTCGTCTCCTGGTACCGGACGGTTAATTCTGGCCTGTGAGCCAGCAGATATTTTTATTTCCATAACCATTTTATGAGAATTCAGAATAATGATCTTAGAAAGAAAATATCAAGATTTTATCTCCGTTCCACTGGGACTTCTGCTTGATTCTTTTTCACTGAGTTTTGGAGACTTTTTTTTTTTCTGGGTGAATCTGCACCCCTCAGGGTTCCTTTCCTCTTAATTCCTTTGGTTCTGAGACTGGGGACACCAAAAGCCATGCTGCTTTGGCTGGCTTTGCATTTACATAAGACCTGAGCAATTATCTGTAATATGGGGGCGGGGGACAGGTGAAATCACTATTGTTATATAGATCAAATAAGGCCAGAAAAGGAAAATATCCTACAGCATATGTTAATACCAGGTTTCGGTGACTTTTATCTGAGCACTTAGCTAAGAAAAACCAACTCAAACTTTTCAGCCTCTTGAAAAGATGTTGTAGTTCTCCGATCCTGGCTTTTTCACGTACATAAACTTGGGTGTCAGCTATGGCTTCTGTGAGGTGACTAGACCGGCGTGTGCGTGTGTACCTGTGTGTAAGAGGTGGCTCTTAATTCATACCACCCAGGTGGCAGCTTGAAGCCAGTGGCACCCTCCCCCTGAACCTGAGGGGAAAATGTATAGAAACTTGTGTCCCCTGCTATCACAGAACAGGCAGCGTCCTAGAAAGGTTGTGATGTTTGTTACCATGTCAGTGAAGTTTTTAAAGTGTAAACGTAACGGAAACAAGTGGCCCTGCTTTGGTTTACACAAAGCGCTCATCCCTTCTCGTCACCTGCTTCACAGGAACTGTCAGCTCCTCTTGTTGGGGGCTAAAGGGTCTTCAGGTTTGGGCACCCTGGTCACCTGCCCTGCCTGGGATTGTGTGAAGGAGCCCAGGGCTCCTGTGATGCCCACACCCCGCCATGGCCCCCTAGTGTACCCCGGTGCTTCCCTACCCCACGACCCCGCCAGGCCAAAAGATCCACTGCCCTGTGCCACATGCGTGTTGCTGGGAACCCAGTTTGAGGGGTGCTGATGGAGTGCTGGACATGGAGACCTCTGGCCCTTGTGTCCTTCCCCCAGGGGAACCCTGCTTTCCCTGCTCCAACTGCTGGGTCCTGCTTCTAGGGTTGCTAGAGGTGTCCCTGCAGTGACCGGCTTAGAAGGTAAACACTTCTGACACGACAGCAGGAAATGGCCAGGCCACCGGCCGGGAAGGAAAGCGGAACACAGATCCAGGCCACACATGCATTATATGTAACTGTATTGTTCTGCCACAGAAGTCACCAGTCACTGACACGTACGCAGGCCAGCGGGGCAGTCACTGACCACTGTGGCCATGTCCATTTAATTAAAATTGCATATAATTAAAAACTAGCTTCCTCGGTCAGCTGGTCGCACCGCAAGCACTCAGTTGCCACATGCAGCAGGTGACTGCCATGTGAGACAGCACAGCTGGAGAGACCCCAGCGTGGAGCAAGAGTTCCGTGCACAGTGCTTGTGTGTCCCTAGCCCTGTGTGGTTCCGGCACTGCTGAAGGCCGACTTGCCATTCTTCCTTTTCTTACTAGGATTGGCCCTGGCTGTTTAGAAAGCAGTGCGATGTAAGGAAAGAGCCAGCGGGAAGTTTAAAGTCCAGCAAGTCGTGTGAACTCTGCCGGATGGGTTGCTGCGGGAGGTGGGCGGCAGCCTTGCCCGGCTCCTCTCTTTCATGTGGTCCCAAGTGTCCCCAAAGCACCTGGAAAATCCACTGGGTCCACAAGTCCCCGTTCTTTAAATAGGCGTTGGGGCTTAGCTCCGGGAGAGAAATCTCAGATTTATAGAAGCACACAAAGTATAGCTTTTACCGCAGCTGAGGTGTGGCTGGGCTGGCTCTGTTAGCTGTGATGTAGGTGGTAGCAGTGCGCAGACAGAGTTGGGGCGAGGCTGCCCTGGGGCCAAACGAGCAAGAGGAAGAGGGACACGATGGGAAACAGGCTCACGGCACCTCTGTGCGCCAGATCAGCGAGGCAGCCAGGCCGCCGCCCCTCGGTAACCCCTTCTTCGGCAGCTTCAGAGTCAGATGTGTACACAGGGAGCAGAAGTGGGGGCTTCCTGCACCTGGGAGCGGCCTGAACGCAAGCTCACCCTGGTACTCCCAGCCTCCCTAGGCCTCTCTCCCCTGAGAGTCAGAGCAGCTCCCTGCTTTTTTGTTCGTTTCGCCACCACCCACCCCCAGCGAAGTCTCTGTCTGGCAAGATGGAGACGAGGAGACCGGAGGTAGCGGGTTGAGCGTAGGCCTGCCGGGCGCGGCCCTGGGGAGGGAGGAGTGTGTGGACCTGGGCTGGAGGCCTCTTCCTGAAACACAGCCTGCTGCCCGTCCAGCGGACTGGGGTCGGTCCGCTCCTTACCTCAGAATTTCTTCGGTGATCAGGTTTCGCGTTAGGGGCGTCCCCCTGTGAGTGACCTGTGCGTTCAGCATCTCTGCCTGCACTGCTTTAAGGGGTCTGTGGGGAATCATCCTGCAGCTCACAAAGCAGGTAGAGCCACGGGCGATGGTCCTGTGGGTGTGGACAGTCCCACGGTGCTGTCGCCTTGCTGAGCCCTGCTGTCCCCTGGCAACACGTACATAGCTAGGGAGTGAGCGGGAGGCTGGGGGACTCTGACTGAAATAAGAATGGCCAAGGGGAAGAAACCCAGCGCAGTGTGAAGGCTGTGTGGTGTCGTCCGGTTGCCTTCGTTCCGTGTGACTTTGGGGTCATTCTGAGTAAGGCAGTGCCTGGCCTCCCGAGAACACTGCTGTGAAAGGCAGCACTGCCTGGGTGCGGCAGGTCGGTGCTGCTTCTGAGAACCACCCCCTGCAGACTCTGCATTGGAGGTAGGACAGGGATCCATTGTCCTTGGCCTCGGTATGCACGTAGACAAGGGCGCTGGCGGAGCAGAATCAGAGGCCCTCTTTGTCCTCCGTTCTGGACTGTGACCTTCTTTTCTCTCTTCCCCCCACCCGCCACTTTCTCTCCTGTTCACTGCGTATCTTTGGCCCAAAGAGTCTTGCCTTCGTATCTGCCCTCATATTCAGGCTTGCTCAGGTCCTTGGTGCCAAGCGTGGACCTCCAGGCCCCACAGTGAGAAGGCTGTTGTCGGAGGTGCTGTTCACCCTCAGGCATGGGGTGTTGTGGAGGAGGAGGCTCTCGGCCGGCTTCATTTTAGAATCATCCGGGTATCGCTTAAAACTCTGGATGCCCGGGCCCACCCATACTAATGCAGAATGTCTAGGGGTATGAGCCGGACAGCAGCTGGTCTTCAGAGATCCCCAGGTGATCAGAGTAAACACCACAAGTTGGGAAACTCCTGTAAGGCAGAGGGATCACGGTGACTCTGTCCTCCATCTCTGAGGCACAGGAAAGAGCATCAGATGCAAAATCAGTCCCTAGCACCTACATCCTGGTCCTCGTGGCAGGCCATTTACCTACTCTGGGCCTCAGTTTCCACCTCTGTAAAATGGGTCCGTAGTAATGCTACTTGTCTTACAGGATCATCTTAAAGAACCAAACAGTGATTATGTGCAAGTCTTCTAGAATTGGGCAGTGCTATCAAAATGCTTGTTGTCACTGATGGAGGAATCATCCTTTTGTAGAGAGATGTTCCTCTCCTAGGTGACTTGGCAAGGCAGTGGGGGTGACTGTGGCGTAGTGTTCATCTTTTCATCACCAGCGGCAAACCTGACGATCGTTCAGGATGATTATTTCTCCTGTTTGATAAAGGAAGGGGGTCACGAGAGGTGGTCTGACCAACTTTAAAAAGCACCCAGCAGCCAGAGCCCCACTGTGTACAGCGCCGGGGACCGGTCCCTGGCTTCTTGGTAGCTGCTCATCCCAGAGGACACGGGGCCTCACTGAGGAGAAAGGGACATCAGTGAACACTGCTTGTGAGCCCCGGTTCCCTCTTTGTTCCGCTTAGTTGGGTTTCGTTTATGTCGATGAATGAAGCAAGGCGGAGTTGCCCAGATCACTGCCAACACCCCTGGGAAGGGCGAGGAGGCGCCCCCTTCGACCAGGGCCCGCTTGTTCCCTGGGTGCACGCGAGTGTGGTGTCGGGGTGGTGAATGTTGGCATGGCTCTCTGGGTAACACCAAAGCATTTCCTCTGGCCTGTCCTCAGGGACTTGAAGGTGGACGGAGGGAGACAGTCAGCAGGCACCATGAGCTTGAAGGAGATCATTGGTCTGGAGGGCGTGGAGCTGGGAGCTGACGGGAAGGTAAGGCTCCTGGCTTTCCATCCCCGAGTTCACGAAGACACTCACCTGCCAGGAAGCAGAGGCAGCGAGGAGGGAAGTGAGCCCTGGGGCAGACTGCGGGCGTGTGATGCCAGCCCACCAACTCTGCCGGCTGCAGGGGAAGCACACCCAGCCGGCGATGTGGTAGCGGCAAGGTGGGGCTCCCTGGGCATGCGCCCGGCTTCCCGGCTGAGCGTGCGACACATTCAGGTGCTTCACACGCGCGTGCACATATCCGCGCACGTGCCAGGTGGAGGGCTGGCTCGTGGGACACCCAGTCACTGGCCGTGGGAGCAGGACACCCTGCAGCTGCTAGAACAGTGTGTAGTTTCCTACGGCGAGAAGCATGGGGAGCACCACACGGCAGCACCGTCGTGTTCCTTCCTCCCTACCCGGTGCAGCGAGCTGCTGGGTCTGAGGAGTGAAAATTGCAAGATGAACTTGACCCACCAGCCTGGTGGCAGGCAGTCTCGAGCAGCCCACACAGCCTGTCTCTGGGGACACTGTCCTAACACAGGCCACTGGGCAGCGAGTGACCTTCACCCTCCTCAGCCCTGGGCCAGCTGGTCGCTTCTGCCTGAGTGGCAGCATTCGGAGCTCAGTGTGTAAGAAGGGTGCACGCCAGGTGCTTCCCCAGGCCGGTAAAAGAAAGGCACTCACTCCGTCCTTCTTCCCAGAGGGTGGGTGCTCAGCTAGAAAAGAGCGGGCATGGACGTGGGCATCAGGAACAGCCCCCACCAGAGGAGCGGAATCTGGCCTTCCCAGAGACTCTTGGGTCCTGATGTGCTCTGGAATTCCTGCGTATGGTGTATGAAGAGTATACATTGTGTGTCTCGCCTGCAGCAAATTCTGCAGTTTTGCCTTGCCCATTGTGTTAATAGTTCTGCCACCTAACAGAAACAGTTAAAACCATACATCAAGGGCCACCAGGGAGTCAGCTTAGTGGTTCCACCACCTGCCTCGCTAGCACAAGGTCCCAAGTTCGTCCCTGGTACCAAAACCAAAACAAAAAACATTAAGTCTATTCAGGTGGGGTTTAGGGGCACAGATTTGGCACAAGCAGGGGCCAAAATATTTTTTCATGTTTCAGATTACACATTTTAACAAGTAGAACTCAACTTGGGGTCACAGCATAGCTCAGTCAAAATGCAAACCCAGCATTGTCTAGAAGCAATCACTGGTTTGTTTTTTATCTTCACCTTTTAGACGGTTTCTTACACCCAGTTTCTATTACCCACAAATGCCTTCGGAGCCCGGAGAAATACCATAGACTCCACCTCCTCCTTCTCCCAGTTCCACAACCTGAGCCACCGCAGCCTCTCCATCGGCCGGGCCAGCAGCACCCAGGGCAGCCTGGACACAGGTAACCACGCCCAGCCGGGTCTGGGAAGCTCCAGACAGGAGATGCTGGCTTTATGGGCCTCTCTCTGTGTGGACTGGAGAGCAGGTGCCCAAGGACAAAGTGACTTTGGGAAAGTTCGGTCTTGGCCTGTGCAGGTTCACAGCCAGGTCACGGGTGATCTTCTCAGTTAGATTTCTCAGCTGCCGAGCCAGCAGGGTCCAGCCAAGGCCTCCCACACCAGACAGAGGGAGCTGGATTTCCCACCTCCTCACTCGCCATTCACAGTTATGTCCCCCAAGGTCAGGCTTCTCAACTTTGCTCCCTTGCCCCAGAGAGTTGGGCCCTGATCGGGGTGAGAATTTCCTTTTTTGGCTATCATGGTGAGTGAGCTGAGTGGCCACCGAAGGAACATTTGCAGACTCCAGCTTCGCCCACCCAGGCCTTTGTAAGAATTGGCACAGGGACAAAAATTAAAAGGCTGGGCTCCAACATGAGATCCTCCTGCCTCAGCCTCCCAGAGTCTTGAGATTAGAGGTATGTGTCACCATGCCTACCTTCCTTTGCCATCTTTGTAAGAACTGGCAAAAACTCTAGGAAGCAGCATTATTTCTACTGTCAGAAGGGGTTCCTAGGGAGTATGGCACCCTGCCTCTGTCCTAGTGTCCAGCCACCTGTGGTCATTCTCGGCTCTGTGCATTGGTGGCCGCCCTGGCTTGAGATTCTCCACACACGTCTTCCTGGATGCATCCACCTAAGTCCTGCCCAAGTCTGAGTTACAAATCTTAGTTTGAAAGTCTAGAAATGAGCTTTGGGACCACATTACCCCTGGGGTGAAGTCTGGGATCTCCCATTTTGGGGAGACATATGTGCTTTTGTAGAATACAAAAGAGCGTCAGAATGGTGAAGATTTGCTGAACCCTTTTGTGGGGGCTGAACCGCATGGACACACAGTGCTGTCTGCTTCCCAAGCCACGCGCCTGAGGCCAGTCTGACTGCACGAGCCGTGCTTGGAGTTCTCGCAGCTGCCTCTGCCTCAGAGGACCCAGGCCCCTCACTGTCAATCAGCCGTGCTTGGTTCTCGCCGCTGCCTCTGCCTCAGAGGACCCAGGCCCCTCACTGTCAATCTTGTGTCCTCTTCAGGTAGTGACCTGGGGGAGTCTGTGGACTATGACCCCAACCTCCTGGACGACCCTCAGTGGCCTTGTGGCAAGCACAAGCGAGTTCTGATCTTTCCTTCGTACATGGTGAGTAGCAGCAGAGGGCTGGGTGTTTTGCTCTCCCTGCAGCCGCCTCCGCAGGTAGCTCGGTGACACTCAAGGCCTGGGGCTCCGCACTAGGGGTGACTTAACGGGTAACTGGGCTTCTGCTGGTCATACCTGCAGATGCCACTCCCAGCCAAGGCCGGGGCCCTTCACCTCTGAGGGGTGTCCCAGGTCACAGACCCCGGGAGCACTGTGTTCCAGTCCAGCCGTTTGGGTCTCCGTGGAGACTGCAGGCCCCCATGTGCACTGGAAGCAGACAATTGGCACTGGGCTGGGATGGCAAAATTATCACTGGGGAAAGTGAAAGTAGGACACTATGGTGTTAAATGCAAATGCTTTCCTTGCTGTTTTTATTTGATGGGATCCTCCCTTTGTGTCATTTTGGTTTCTGCTTTTGACCGACCACCTCTCCCACCAGTAAGGGCTGTCGCTTCTCCCGACACCAAGGTCGGGGCACCCTGCCAGGGTCCCACATCCTGTCTTTGGGCAGACAGACCCAACCCGAATCCTGGCCAGGCAGAGCGCTGGCCACAGCAGTGGGGAGAGGAGGGTCAGCCTGGAAAGCCCCCTCTTCTGCTCCTTTCTCCTGTGCTGTCCCCAGGTCTCAGCACTGAGCTGGAACGTCCCCCGGTGGCGAGGGATTATAGATACCAGAGTGCAGACTAGCCTCAACTACTGAAAAGATACCAGATCTGGGGCCAGGGATTTAGCTCAGTGGCGCTGCGCCTGCCTTGTAAGTGCAAGGACCTGAATTCGATCCCCCAGTATTGGGAGGAAAAAAAGGGATACCAGATCCACACTCAGAGTGTAACTGTTGTCCAAGAGATGCCAGGCAGCGCCCCGGCCTTTGCCGCTGACTTTCTGCATATATCCTCTTATCATTTGGCATAGTTCAGAGGTCACTGTGAACCACCACACTGAGTCCCAATGAACTCCAAAGGCATTTGGTACAGAATGACCCTGGTCCTCACTGTCCTGCAGCTCCTAACACAGAGAGCTACACTACAGCCGCGTGGAGTTGCCGCGTTCCATTCCATGACCTGTGCATTTGAAAAACAGGTCTCATCCATCTGCCTCAGGGGCTAACACCTAGTAAGAGCTCAATAAACGAGCAGAACCAGTGTCCTGCTGTTCAAGAGGGCACACCTGAGAGGTATTCCCTTGTATGAAAATAAGGATTCTTTCGCAGTTCACTGCTTTGCTTGTGAGAGTTCATTTTGTTAATTAAGCAACTTGAGCAAGAAACTATGGCTCAAAATCTGACTGAGGCCTTCACAGCTGGGGGCCAAAACCAGAACGCCCCGCCAAGGGCCCTGTCCCTGCTGGTTATGTTTGACTGCTGACCCAAGAGCAGGGCGTGAGGACAGCTCTGCAGACCAGCGGGGTCACCTTTAGGTGACGGGGATACTTCGAAGGTGCTCTGTTGTGGCTGATGGTGGGGTTTGGTAACAACGCTGATCTCTCCTTTTGCAAGCCTGGTGTCAGGTGTGTGCACGTTCAGATGATTGTTGCTCCATGGCCAGTGTGCTAGGTGGCTCGCCAAGTTAGGGTGCCTGTCCTGGTTTTATGGATCATTTGTCATTTCCTCACGTTGGGTCTGCAGTCTGTGTTTCCTGGGAGGGTCCGTGTCTTAGCACAGTAGGCTGTGTGAGCTGCATCTTCTGGTCAGATCTGTGAGACCTGCTGCCTCCTGTTCTGGCCACAGACGTTGTTACTTTGATCAGAGGCAGGTATAACTTTTGGGTGCCTGCCTGTGTGTGTGTTACAAAGAGTCTCAGCCCAGCTCCCTAGAGACAGAAGCAGGTGTGAATTGGAAGGCTGTTTCTTGGGCATTTGTTCTGATCTTATAGGAACAAGAGTGCAGGTGTTTTGTGTTTGCCTTATTTTTGTACGTTAATGAATACAGAATTTGCACACACAGCAAGCTGGGTTGAGGTCCTACTATGGGCCCAGCCGGGCCCTTCCTTCTCCAGTGGACAGCGAACTAACCACAAACCCCATTGTCATCGATCTTAGTGAGTAGGGAGTCAGTCAGTGAACAGAAGATAAACCACTGTGGCCCTGCAGAAAGAGCCCCCTTGGAAGAGTGAGGTGAGGGCAGGGAGGACGCAGGGTCGGTTCTTCACTCAGGGAGACCCTGACGTGTCAGAAGGTTGACACAGTGTAAAACGGCCCCTCCCTCTACATGTGCACCCTGGCCCTGGGCTCAGGGAGCTGCACGTGCCATAGGCCCAGGACTCTGAAAGTCATCCCTCTGCAACAAGAGCCTCAGGGTTCCTGGAGCCACACGCTTCAGGCCCCAGGGGGTTGGTGTGCGGAGCTCACTTTGTGTCATCTGCCAGGCTGATGTCAGGCCTGTGAGGCCAGCTCCAGCTTACTCTGCCCAGGGCTTCCTGCGGCCACCCTAGCAGCCTTTGCCTGCAGTGAGAACAGACAGTGGGGGCCACTCGGCCTCAGGGTCCTGCTGTCCTCCCCTAGCCTCCTCGAGCCCCAGGGCAGTCCCAGAGCTGTTGCCCAGTATTATCCTGTTTGCACGGAGTTTCCATCTCTGCAGAATCAGCCAACCCTCAGAGCCTTCCACCTATCAAATCCCACAGCAGCCACACGCAGTGGGATTTATACACAATCACACGCACCCATTAAAGTGCAGTCCCATGAGTTCACTGAGTGCCCCTCCAACCCACATAGGATGTTTCTGTCCCTTATGCAGTGCCCTCCCCCCACCCACACATCTGCCATAGCACCTCACTTCTGGCTCCATATTGTTTTACCCATTCTGGAATTTCATGCAAATGAGGTTGTAGGGCTTGCGGTCTTTGGGGGAGGGGGTGTCTTCTTCCACACTCCTTAATATCTGTGAGATTCACCTTTGTGTGCGCGTATTGGTATTTTCTTCCTGTTGCGGAGTGGTGTTGGATCCACACAGACTCTCCACTCTCCTGTTGATGAACATTTACAGTTTCCATGCAGGGATATTAGGAAAACTGCTAATTTGTAGGAGTCTTTTTATGGGTGCCTGTTTACATTTTTATTGGGTAAACTCCCCAGGGGCAGATTGGAGCCAGATGGTATCAGCCGTCCAGGGTGTCGTGGGGAGGGCTGTGTTTCCTGGGTACCTTTTCCATGAGCGATGTGAAAGGGCCTCCGGTCACCATCCATAGTGTATGCCTTAAGGGTGCAGGTTCCAAGGCCTGTCACTGGCAGCGTGGAAGGGGCACCCTTAGAGAGGGGCCTTGCACTCTGAACTTTGATCCATGCAGGTCATTCCTGTTATTATCCAAAGATGAAAGATTGGACTTGAAAGTCCCTGGGGGCAGGCGTGGAGAGCAGGTTGCAGCTGCCTGTGTACTGCTTTGGGGGCTCTGGAAAGTGACCGTGGCTACACGCAGGTTCTTCTTTTGGTTTATGCAACTTCCCTGAAGAAAAACAAATCAGTTACTAGCAGAGCTATTAGTTGATCACTCATCCACTGATAACTTGCATCATTTACTTGGTGCTATATTAAACAGTCTATTGGAAGATTAACTAATAGCTCCAAGCCGCCTAACAATTTAAATGCAAATTACTAAATGTTTGGAGACCCTATTTTGGAATACAAAGGGTGTTTGAGTTCCACTTTTCATTCTCTGTAGAACAAGGACAGGTCATTCCTTAAATGACATGCATAAAATACATCACATTTTCTCTTCTGCCGATGCTATAAATACCAATTCTCCAGCCACACCAGTTATGAGCATAAAGTATATCACGTAACCTCACATCTCTAACACTGAAGGCTTAACAAGAACGGATGCTGCTCGAATAATGCAGCTTCCTTGCCGTGACGACCGAGCATCCATCTCCTCCCTCAGCTGGCTTCTTCAGCGGTTAGAGCTGTGAGGAATGGTTTAAGTCTTGTGACCAAGTTAGAGTGAAGACATCGGCCATGTAATACACATGCTCCATTTTCTAAAAAAGTTCTGAATCTTGGACAACTGTTCTCCTGTAACTACTTTACGGTTTCTAAAAGCAGTTACTGTCCAAACCTGGAGGAACTTCAGTCTCGTAGATGAGCATGTGAATGAATGGAGGGAGGTAAACAATAAAATTAAAAAAGATGAGGTCTGATAGGGGAGCGGCCGGACAAGACAATCAAAACAGGAACGGTACTTTAAAGTTTATGCCAGCTCTAATGCAGGCTATTCCGATTTTAAGGTAGCATCACACGGCATACTGCCGAGTCCATTCTCGAGCTGTCCTGTTGTACTTGGCTCTGTTTTACAGATCTGTGCAATCTCTCGCACTGGGGGGTCATCTGGGTTTGGATCACATAGTGAGCAAATGGATAAAAGAACTTTAGAAATAGTTAAAGCAGGATTTAAAGCAGGACTGCCATTAGTGTTTAGATTTGGATGATAAATTCTTGTTGTAAAGGCAACCTTAGGTGGTTTGAAGGGGTAGTCTCTGTAGGAAAATGAAATGTCAAAGAATGCACCACCTTGATGTGGGCTGTCATTGGGTCCCCTAATCGTGGCTTGCCAGTGAACGTGTCATTCCCACCTGGGCCTGCAGAATGCTGCACTGGCGGGTCACGGCCCAAATCCCTAATTTCCTTAGTAATCCGCTTCAGCGCATGGTCCGTGCTGTCCTGTCCTGCCACATCCCGACGGGCCTCGGCTCCAGCGGCACAGGCACGGCCTTCTTCACCAGCGGATCCATCCGCCAAAGCCAATGCGCAGCGGCCCATTCCCTGGCCGACTAAGCCAGTCCGACCAGAGGTCTCCTGAGGGCCGCCCCACACGGGGTTCCTGCAGTGCTTCAGAGAGGGGCCTGCGGAGTTACCACCGGATGCTCCTGGCCTCATGTATAACTAGAGTCTCGCTGGAGGCTGGAACCTGGCAGCTCATGGAGTAGTGGTTTTCATTGTTCTCTCCCTTTATGGCCATGAAAAGTACTTAAGGGGAGAAAGCTGAGGTAATAGCAGCAGAGCTAACCCTGTTCCC